CATCATATGAGCCACTGGGACACAAAACTAAAGGCCATTTGGCAGTCTCTGACAATGCCGGCTGGGGAGGGGGGCTGGGTCACCAAATAGTTCATGAATTTCTGTATCTACCCGATTGCCCAGTCTCACTGTTAGGTAGAGACCCACTAGTCAATTTGGGCACAAAAGTAACCTCACCTCGGATGGACAGATGCAATTGCACCTAAACAAAAAGGCCCAACCTGTGATTTGACCCCTGACGATTCCCTGGGAAGAGGAATGGAGATTACATGCTTCCCTTCCCCATGAGCCAACCATGGCCCCCAAGCTAGAAGCTGAATTCCCTTCAGTTTGGGCAGAAGGAAACTCCTCTGGTCTGGCAAAAAGCATCCCCCAATATTAATTGACCTAAATCCTTGGGCCTGACCTTTCAAAATATGCCAATATATGGTCCCATGAGAGTCATGCCTGGGGATCCAGACACAGTTGGACAGGCTACTCAAATGAGGACTTCTAAAATGATGCCAGTTCACATGTAATACTCCCTTGCTGCCTATGAAAAGGCCTGGTTACTGCCTTATACAGGACCTAAGAGCCATTAATGAGGCAGTCATCACACTGTATTCAGCGTTGCCTAACCCATACATTCTACTAGGACTCATACCCTCTGAAGCAGGATGGTTCACATGTCTAGATTTAAAGGACACCTTCTTCTGTCTCCAGCTAGTGCCTAATCGTCAACCCCTATTTGCCTTTGAATGGGAAAACCCTACCACAGGGGCAAAGGAACAAGTCACTTGGACTAGACTGTTGCAAGAATTCAAAAATTCACCAACCTTATTCAGTGGGGCCCTAGTCCTCCTCCAATATGTGGACAATCTCCTGTTAGACAGTCCCACACGGATACAGTGCTGGGAGGGAACCAGGGCCCTACTCAGGTTACTAGCAGAGGTGGGATACTGGGTGTCAAAGAAAAAGGCACAGATTTGCCAGCAGGAAGTTAAATATTTGAGCTTCAAAATTACCCAAGGCAAATGGATGCTGGGAGTTGAAAGGAAATGGGAAGTTTCCAAAAGTTCCTGGGAGTGGCAGGATTCTGTCGGATATGGATACCAGGGTTCTTAGAGTTGGCCAAACCTCTATACGAGGCACTAAAGGGGGAAGAAAGGACACCCCTTTTTTGGGATCCTAATCAAGTAAAGGCATTCAAGACCATAAAAACAAAACTCACCGAGGCACCAGCCTTGGGACTCCCAGATGTATCACAAGTTTTCAACCTGCTCATACATGAAAGGAATGGGGTGGCCCTGGGGGTTCTCACCCAGGAATTTGAACCTTGGCAAAGACCAGTGGCATACCTTTCAAAGCAGGCTGACTCAGTTGTGGCAGGATGGCCACCCTGTTTGAGGGCCCTGGCAGCCACCACACTTTTAATCAAGGAAGCAGACAAACTCACATTTGGACAAAACCTAAGCACTAAGTTTCTCCCTTCTGTTATTACCCTGATGGATGCCAGAGAGCAACACTGGCTAACTCATGCTCAGATGACAAAATATCAGGGACTGCTATGTGAGAACCCACAAATAAGACTGGAAGCCAAATAGCATTAACAACTCAGGCAACAACAGATGTTGGCGAGAATGTGGAGAAAGAGGATCTCTTTCACATTGTTGCAAGCTGGTGCAGCCACTCTGGAAAACAGTATGGAGGTTCCTCAAAAACCTAAAAATAGAACTTCCCTACAACCCAGGAATTGCACTACTAGGCACTAATCCATGGGATACAGGTGTGCTGTTTCAAAGGGACACATGCACCCCCATGTTTATAGCAGCACTATCAACAATAGCCAAAGTATGGAAAGAGCCCAAATGTCCATTTACAATGGAGTATTACTGAGCAATCAAAAAGAATAAAATCTTGTCATTTGCAACTACGTGGATGGAACTGGAGGGTATTATGGTAAGTGAAATTAGTCAATCAGAGAAAGACAAAAATCATATGACTTTACTCATATGAGGACCTTAAGAGACAAAACAGATGAACATATGGGAAGGGAAACAAAATTAATTTAAAAACAGGGAGGCAACAAAACAGAAGAGGCCCATAAATATGGAGAACAAACTGAGGGTTGCTGGAGGGGTTGTAGGAGGGGGGATGGGCTAAATGGGTAAGGAGCATTAAGGAATCTACTCCTGAAATCATTGTTTCACTATATGCTAACTAATTTGGATGCAAATTTTAAAAAATAAAAAATTAAATTAAAAAACAAACAAACAAACAAACAAACAAATAAATAAAAAGACTGGAAGTCAAAAAACTCCAAACCTGCCACTTTCTTACCCTCGGAAGTTTCCCCAGAGCATGATTGACTAGAGGTACTTCATGAAGTCTATTCTAGCTGACCCAGCCTATCATATAGGCCCTTACAAAATCCTGAACTCATCTTGTATATCGACAGCAGCAGCTTCATGAATGAAGGCAAAAGATATGATAGTTATGCAGTAGTCTCTGGTTTTGAGGTCATGATATGCCCCGATTCGAGAGACCCCCCAAAAACAATCCACCAGAGTCCAGAGTCAAAGCCAAGTGGCAAGGGTCGTTTATTGCAGGTTTGAACCCGGTCCTCCGCACACTCGTTGCCAGTGACGCTAAGAGGCTCCAAGCAAGGATCTTACAGCTTCTTTTATAGACAGGCACAAACAAGTTAGGGATTTTTTTGTGTTTACAGAGCTGCTATTGGTTGACATTTAAATTTGAACACTCAGCAGAACTTGATTGGTTCCCGCCTTTTTTTCAAACCACTCAGCAGAACTTGATTGGTTCCCACCTTTAGGTCAGACCACAACTGGGCACGCCCTGGCTGGTTCCTGGAACGGTGGGGGGGGGGGGGGGGGAGTGTGGAAGGTCTTTTCTTTGCAGTTGTGAGTACACCTGGTAATTTTTCTCTTAGTCTCTCAGTCCTAAGAGCAAGGGCCCTTCCACAAGGATGGTCAGCCCAAAAAGCAGAATTGGGGACCCTAATAAGAGCACTAGAAGTTAGTAAAGACAAATGGGCCAACATATGCACTGACTCATGCTATGTCTTCACTACTCTACATGTACATGGGGATTTATACAAGGTGAGAGGACTTTTGACCAGAGGAGGAAAAGAAATAAAAAATTGGGAAGAAATCCTAAAACTATTAAGGGCAGTCTGGGAACCAAGGGAAGTAGCAGTCATCCACTGCAAGGGACACCAAAGAGGAAAAGACTCAGTGTCAGAAAGTAGCCAATGGGCTGATGTCACAGCTAAACAAGCAGCGGGAAAACAAACAACACCCTCAAAAATTATGCTTGCTTCAAAACTGCCAACTTCCTCAAGGTACACAATCCAATAAACAAATGGGCACAACAGGAAAAAGGAAGCCAGGCAAAAGAAAGACGGTAGGTATTTCCAGACCAAAGAATCTATATACAGGAACAGCTAGCCCACCAGGTTGTTCTCCAACAGCATGAGCTCACCCATCTAGGAAAAACCACCCTTAAAACCTTATTGAGCCGTTACTATGTATTTGCTTAACTCCTGTCCCTCTGTGCCTCAGTCTCTCAAGACCACCTCCTCTGTGCTCAAAATAATGCCAAACAAGGCCCCACTGGGCTCATGGGAATCCAATTCTGGGTACAGACACCCTTCAAAGATTTGAAGGTGGACTTTACTGAAATAAGACCTAGTGGAGGATACAAATTTCTTTTGTTATTCATCTGTAAGTTTTTGGTTGGGTTGAGGCTTACCCCACATGCACTGAAAAGGCAAGAGAAGTAACCAAGACCTTGTTAAGGGATGTAGACATAGAATGCCATTAACCATAGGCTCAGACAATGGCCCGGATTTTGTTGTCAAGGTGGTACAACAAATAGTCAAAACCCTAGGTATCCAATGGAACTTACACTCAGCCTACTGGACCCAGAGTTCAGGGAAAGTGGAATCTATGAACCGGACCCTAAATCAGCCATGGCAAAACTGTCAGGAAAGTAACTTGCCCTGGCCAGATATACTACCCCTACTTCTTCTCCAAATATGCTGTACACCCTGGGCAAAAATAGGATTTGAGATACTATATGGAAGACCCCCTCCACTAGTCAAATACAAGAGGGGACCTGACAGAGCTAGGGAATTTAGAAATAAAAAAAACAACTACAAGGATTAGGAAAAACTGAACTTGAGATACATAGGTGGGTGAAAGACAGGGTATCTATTTTCCTATGGATAACTGTACACCCCCACAAGCTTGGGGATCAGGTTTGGATTAAAGAGTGGAAAGGGAATCGCTCAAACCTACCTGGAAGGGACCCTATTTAGTTGTGCTAACCATGACCACAGCCCTCAAGGTTGCAGGACTAACCACCTGGATCCACCATTCTCCAGTAAAGGCAGCCCACCTGTCACTTGACAACCGCTTGGAATGGAAAGTGACTGCTAACCAGAATAATCCTTTACAGATCATCCCTAAGAAGATAACAGAAGATAAGCAGCCTGCAGCAATACCTGAGAACTCTTTGCAATCAGAAGCTTGAGAAAGTCACCAAGCAACTTAAATGAACTATAACAAATTATTCTCTCTAAATTTTCATTGTCATCTCCTACCTATTTCTCTTTCCATATTTGTAGCTATACTCTTTGCTGTAAGGCTGACCCAAGTTACTCCCATAGATTGGTGCCTCAGTCACAAACTCTTATTAGCCTTCCTCTACTTAATTAGTGTCAGGATGCCTAATTCTCCTTAGATGTATATGATCTGAGTTATGATTGCTGTCCCTGACTTGGAATAAGAAATTGTCAGTAACCTACCCTAACAAAATGAAATTTCTCCTACTGTTAATGCTGAGTTCTCTCATAAGAAGCAAAGTCCCTCCTCAATGTAATGATGACTGTTTCAGGACCTATCACTTGAGATCCTCCCTTTCCCCTGCCTTGAATGGCCTAAAACAACTCCTAGGACAGGGAACTACACACAAGGCCTTCACCACATATACATACCAACATGCAAAATGTTATCAATCCTCCTCACACTGTTCCCATGACAGAAAAACTTATTGTCAAGGAAGTATTAAAGCAAGACACTTTTGGCAGGGAACATCATGTCATGGAACCCCAGACAAACATGCCTGCTGGACGTAACAAACCCACTTTAGATTGTCTGATGGAAGGGGAGTCCAAGACCAGGCCCATAAGGAGGTAACCAACAGGAGGCACAAAATTCTATGAAGCAGACTTCTGAAGTATGCTCAGGAGATTTAAACTTCTAATGGGTCTTATGACTTTAACTCCTACTTATACCAGATTCTAAATTCAACCCATCACCTCCTCAACTTCTTTAACATTCAGTTAGCCAAGGACTGTTGGCTTTGTCTGCCTCTAACCCCCTTACATTATGAGGCTACCCCAGTTTCAGATAATGTAACCAATATGGCTATCACCTGCAACATATCAACAGATAACATAAATGTCACAATAGGGCCCATGGTTACTGATATAAAACGAATAGGGTGGGCCTCCTTATGTTTTAAGGACCAACAGGGAACAACCCCCATATGTAACTAACAACCAATGCAACCAGACTGAGATATACAATCAAACAGATAAAAACGAAGAGTCACCATGGTGCCTTCCCCCTGCAGGAATATTCTTTGTTTGTGGAACTAATGCTTATTTGTGCCTGTCTGCTAACTGGATGGGAATCTGCACCTTTGCCTTCTTAACCCCCAAATAAATATTCTCCCCAACAACCAATCTCTTATAGTTAATTTGGCTGCACATACCCAGTCTAAACGAGCTATCCAAGCTATACCTCTACTAATTGGGTTGGTAATCACTGCAGAGTAAGTACTGGAGTTGGGGGAGTAGCCTCATCTATTTCCTTTTACCAAAACTCTCCCAAAATCTGACAGATGACATAGAAGAAGTTGCAAACTCCCTGGTAACCCTACAAGACCAGGTAGCCTCCTTAGCAGCAGTAGTATTACAAAATAGAAGAGGGTTAGACCTGTTAACTGCTAAGAAGGGGGGAATATGTCTCTTACTAAATGTGGAATGCTGCTTCTATGTTAACCAGTTAGGGATAGTTAGAGATATGGCCCAACAATTAAAGGAACAGATCATCAAACGAGGCAAGAATTAGCAGACTCATGGAACTCTTGGAGCAACATATGGAATTGGACATCCTGGCTCCTCTCTTTAGCTGATCCTCTCCTAATGCTTTTCATAGCCCTACTGTTTGGTCCTTGTATTCTTAATATGCTAACCAGATTTGACTCCTCTTTCCTAGAAGCTATATAACTCCAAATGATGCTTCAGTAGGACCATTCTAGCTGTCACTACTCTCTTTTGAATGGCGAAGAACCCTAGCTGTCACATTACTCCCTTCAACGTCCCTGTCCAGCAGGAAGAAGACAGAATGGTCTCTGTCCCCCTCCCACCTCCTGTGGCAGCAAAGGGTTCCCTGGCCCCCAAAACTGATTTTCTCTAAGTCTGCTACAGCAGCTTGAAAATCAAGAGCAGGTAATGAGAAGGAAAATTGATAAAAAGCAGATAAAAAGGGGCAGCCAGATGTCGGAAGCCAGATACTCCCCTTGCATGCTTTTGGCTTTTGCAATCTTGCTCACCTCTTGTATCAGCCTGCAGCCAGGAACCAGAAGCTTGACTGTACTAGCCCTGCCCATCCAGAGAGCACATATGTATAAAAGATCAGTACAACCTGAGCCAGATGCTCAGCCTTTGGAGGTGACTTTGTTAGGCTGACACCAGTACGAAATAAACAGTCTTTTCTGATTCCTCGAGTGTGTGTCCTTGTCCCTTCCTGGGTGCTGTAACAATAGCTCAGCCAGGACCACCCCAGAAGCAGCTAAGAGCCCAGACCTTACTCACTCACTGCTCTCACCTCAATGACTGGCAACATTTTGCTCAAATAACTCTTTGAAATCAAGGTTGAGTAGTAAGAAGAATAACTTGTGTTCCACTATGTCTTTTCAAATTATTTTCTCTGTCATTTCCTTACTCCATTTCTAATGCAGTTCCATGTTGTGGAGACACAGGGAAGCTACAAACAATTTCACAGAAAGAAAATTGAGGTCTGACTGTAGGCAGTTGGCCTGGGTCACAAACTTCTGGAGCAGAGATGTGGCTGGACTTTGTTTCTGGTTAAAATCTTTCTTCATTCCATCCCATGGTCTCCCTAGAATGCTTGCCTTTACTTTATTGTCTTCAAAAGAACAGTAGAACCCCTAAGGTTCCCAGGTATTTAAATGTAAACTAGAACATCTGACAAGAGAATAAGAATCAAACCCTCTCTCAAAGAAATCCAGATAGCAGTTCCCTTACCTCCACCTTCTAGCTTCACACTTAATTCTATGGGTAATGTTGCTGATTAGCCAGCTTTCAATTAACTTTCAAAAGGAAAATGCTTCAACAGCATTTGTGGGAGTGAGTGGGAGGGAGGGCTAAGCTGGAGACTGGGGGGTGAGTTCAAGAAGAACTGATATTTGTGCTCACTATTCATCTTATTTGGTCTCAACACATTTAATGCATCTGTATTCACTCTTCCTTGGATGCTTGAATAGATTCTAACAACTGATATAACAAATAGGTCAAGTGTGTGTACATATTTCCTGTAAGAGTATATGTAGTTTCATTTAATTTATAATCATTTTTATTTCGTTGAAAGTCTCAACGTCATAAGGTACTATTAAATTAAGTACTCAATCGTATAGATTCATTTTATTGGAAATAATGGAGAGAGACAGTCTCTCGCAGATCACTATGGAGTACCCTTTATACTGGAATGACAGTTAGGCAAGGTGTCATGGAATGACACCATATAATGGGTCGTGATCTTGACATAATTATGTTTTATGGATTTTAAAGAGCTCTCCTTCCCTGGGGCCCACCATTAGCAGCTTTCTCAAGTACTTGGCCACATCAGAAGAGAATGATTCACTATTGGTTTCTGTAAAACACAGAAAGATAGGCCAGCCAGAGCCCTCTGGCAATGGAGTGAAAAGGAATAACAGAGGCCACTGGCTCAGACTCCAAGTCATATATCTCCACCACTGACATTGGTCAGATTTTATAACTCCACTGAGATTATTCACTTACAAACTAGGGAAAAATAAAAGTATCTACCTCTTTAAGTTATATGAGGATTAAATAAGAAAATGGACACAGTACATAAGAAGTGTTCAGCAAATGTTAAACATTACCATTCTCATTATTTATTCTCCATATTTTAGCCTGCAAATCTCAGCATACATACTTGACAAGTTAAAAAAAAAAAAGGAAATTTACATTTTTCCCTAGGGGTAAAACAATGATTAACATGTTTCTCATCTTACAAAATTTTACAAAAAGTGAATATATTTCCAAATATTTGTACAATAGATATTTTTTTATTCAATCAGACAAATGAGCAAGATATCCACAAATGTTGCATGCCAACTGCTCATCAACTATCTCTACAGTTTATGATTTTGCTTCACTCTTTCCATCTTCTGTTTGTGTAATGTGCTTCACACTCAGAGCCAGGTGTTCCCCTGGCTTTTCTGCAGGTTTATATTTGGGCTGGATATCTTCCATTGGCTCCTCCAATAAAAGTTATGCCTTTTTTAGACATCCACTCACCATCCTCTCCACTCAGCTCTCTGATGAAGGATTGCAGGTTCCCACACCCTCTGCTTATCAGCAACAAAGCAAGGAGGAGACTGAGGTCAGGTATTGAAAGGGCGGGCCTATACCGGCCAACTCCATCTTGTTCTGTGTTCTTCATCTAGACCATGCCTCCTCTCCTTGAGTAACCTCCCGCTCACCCATTCAAGCTTCCTGATCAAAACACGCCCAGTGACCTGCGTAACAGGACTCCGACCCTTCCCCAGGTAATCAGCTGAGGCCACAGCCATTACCTCACCAACTGCCTCTAGACCCCTATAAAACCTTTGTGCTTTTGAAACTCGCTCTCTCTCCCCGGTATCTCACCGCTGCATCGGTGCAGGTAGGGGATTGAGCTCCAGCTAGCTCGAATAAAGGTTCTTTTGCTTTTGCATCAGACTCGGCTCCCTGGTGGTCTTTGGGGATCACGAATTCTGGGCATAACAATATAAACCCCATGTCTCCATCACTTAGGCTGGACATTCCTCAGTAGAGGTACCACTCATCTCAAGGATAGCTACTCTATAGAATTTCTCCTTCCATCTTCCTGTTAATTGCTCCCTCCTTTTCTCCTTTAGGATCTAGAGGTAAGAGCTTCCTGTGGATCTGGCCCCATTACTCTACACCCAATCCACACTTTTAAGTGGTCTCTTCTTGAATTATCTAATTATCTGTTTACTAACTGATACATTTTGCTTTGTCATGTGTCAACAAATTTCTAGTCCTATAATCATGATGCTTTGTTCTTCCCTTTCCATTTAATGTGACCTCCTTTGTATTGATTAGCATTCTTATAGGTGAAAATGACAAAAATCCAATTTAAATTCTTCTAATTACAATAATAATGATTAAGAAAATACATTCTTTAGACAAAAATCCAGGAGCTCAAACAACATGTCAAGGATTATTTCTCTCTCCATTTCTTATTCATGTCAGGATTATTTCTCTCTCCATTTCTTATTCTTTCTTTCCTCACTAATGGATTCTCCTAAAGCAAGTTTACCCATATGGTATCAAAGATGACCACCAATAGCTATGTACTTAACACCATGGTAACAAGACTAATTTTAGTTTTGTTTTTTTTTTAAGTGCTTCTTATCCAGAGAATCCAGCAAAAGACATGGGAACGTCCTGATTGGCTTATCTTGGGCCACATTGAGAGACTAAGAGAAAAATTACCAGGTGTACTCACAACTGCAAAGAAAAGACCTCCTCGCCCCCCCCCCCCCCCACCATTCCCGGAACCAGCCAGGGCGTGCCCAGTTGTGGTTTGACCTAAAGGCAGGAACCAATCAAGTTCTGCTGAGTGGTTTGAAAAAAAGGCGGGAACCAATCAAGTTCTGCTGAGTGTTCAAATTTAAATTTCAACCAATAACAGCTCTGTAACTGCAAAAAAATCTCTAACTTGTTTGTGCCTGTCTATAAAAGAAGCTGTAAGATCCTTGCTCGGGGCCTCTTAGCGTCACCAGCAACGAGTGCGGGGAGGACCAGGTTCGAACCTGCAATAAACGACCCTTGCCACTTGGCTTTGACTCTGGACTCTGGTGGATTGTTTTTGGGGGGTCTCTCAAATCAGGGCATATCATTTGGGGGCTCGCCTGGGATCCCCCCAAACCCACCAGACCCCAAGTCAACGGGTCGTCCCTGAGACCGATCGGTAAGTGAGCGGGCTCTGTCCGTTTCTGTTTGTTCGTTTCTGGCTCTCCCACGTGGGATCTGTATCGGTGACTGACACAGCCCTGGCGGACGCGCTATAGAGCAGTTGGTCAGGTCCAGTAGGAGACGTCCACTGGCACCCGTCTGGGGCACCTTTTTGGGCCCATCGGAATTTTTCTGTTCCGGTGGCAGACACCCGAAACGCGCTAGCGATCTAAGTGTTGTGTTCTCTATTCTATAACCTTTAAGTGTTAAACTCCTTCTCTTTCACAGGTGACCTGGCTTGGCCCAGCCAGAAATCCTCATAACTTTACTCTTTCTCCTTTTAATACTTTCCTCCACCTCCAGGATACAGATGGGCCAATCTCAAAGCACTCCTCTTTCTCTCCTCATTGCTAACTTCAGGGATGTTAGAACCAGAGGACAGAATTTGAGTTTAGATATCTGGCGGGGAAAATTAATAACCCTCTGCCGCTCCGAATGGCCAACCTTCAGCGTTGGATGGCCAACCGAAGGAACTTTCTGCCTCCCTATAATTGCTAAGGTGAAATCAAAGATTTTTCTACCAGGTTGCGAGGGACACCCGGATCAGATTCCCTACATTCTTGTATGGCAGAGTTTAGTGGAAAATCCACCCCCTTGGTTGGCCCCCTTCCTATCCTCGGGAACGTGTAAGGTCCTTGCCATGCGGCCTGCAGATCCCCCAAAATCAAGGACGCCAGCCGCACCCTTATCCCATATTGCCCAATAGTCAGGACCTACTACCCCTAGACCCTCCACCCTATCATCCCCTCCCCTCATACCCCAAGCTCTGCCCGCAGCATCTGTCCCACCAGTCGCCCCGCTAGTTGCCCCCCCAGGGGAACCAGGAGGACGGGAAGTGGCAGCTGCGCCGGAACCAGGAGGACGGCAGGCAGCAGCCGCGCCGGGCCCCATTGAAAACGAAACCAACCACGAGGGGCCAGCCGGCCGAACCTGCGGTCGCACCCAGCGTGAGCCAAACCCTCGCCTCCCTGACTCCACTGTGGCCCTACCCCTGCGGGAAATAGGACCCCCAGATGAAACAGGCAACCCTAACCCTCGACTCCAGTATTGGCCCTTTTCCACCAGTGACCTTTACAACTGGAAAACACAGAACGCTCGATTCTCTGATAACCCTAAAGACCTAATAGCTCTTTTAGACAGTGTCATGTTCACCCACCAGCCCACCTGGGACGACTGTCAGCAGCTCCTCTGCATCCTGTTCACTACAGAGGAGCGAGAGAGGATCCAATTAGAAGCAAGAAAGCTGGTTCCCGGAAACGACGGTAGGCCGACATCTAACCCTGACCTCATTAATGCGGCTTTCCCCGAGCCAGACCTCCACAGGACGAATGGGACTACAACACGGCAGAAGGTAGGGAAAGACTCTGATGGCGGGTCTCTGGGCTGCAGCTCACAAGCCCACCAATTTGGCTAAGGTATATTCAGTCGTACAGGGAAAGGCAGAGAGTCCAGCTGCTTACTTAGAGAGATTAATGGAAGCCTTTAGGCAGTTTACCCCCATGGATCCAGAAGTCCCTGAGAACCAGGCTGCTGTCGTTATGTCCTTTGTAAATCAAGCAGCTCCTGACATTAAGAAAAAACTCCAAAGGCTAGAGGATTTAGAAGGTAAACAGATTCAGGATCTGCTCCGTATAGCACAACGGGTCTACAACAACAGGGACGCCCCAGAAGAGAGACAGATCAAGGCCACAGAGAAAAAGACTAAAGTCCTGGCTGCTATAGTCCAGAAAGAACAGCCACCCCCAGAAGGCACTCAAACAACACGCCCTCCCAGGCGGCACTTAGATAAAGATCAATGCCCCTATTGTAAAGAAAAAGGCCATTGGACAGGAGAATGCCCCAAGAAGAAACAACCCCGCCCCAGCCAAGGACAATGGCAGCCTAAAATAGCCCCCATACTGTTTACCCAAGATACAGAATAGGGAGGACGGGGTTCGGATCCCCTCCCCGAACCTAGGGTAACGTTGCAAGTGGAGGGGACCCTGGTCCAGTTCCTAGTTGATACCGGGGCACAGCACTCAGTTCTGGTCAAGCCCCATGGAAAAGTATCTGAAAAATCATCCTGGGTACAAGGGGCCACCAGAATAAAGAAGTACCCCTGGACAACTCAGAGGACTGTGGACTTAGGAACTGGGAAGGTAACCCACTCCTTCCTGGTCATTCCCGACAGCCCCTGCCCCCTGTTGGGGAGGGATTTGCTTACCAAAATGGGGGCCCAAATTCATTTCCAACCGGGGGGACCCACAGTGACTGACTTCCACAACCAACCCATATCTGTACTCACTGTGAAACTAGAAGATGAATATAGGCTCCATCAGGAACACACTCCTCTGGATCAGGGCATCGAGCCCTGGCTTCAACGCTTCCCAGATGCATGGGCAGAAACGGGTGGTATGGGGTTAGCAAAACATCGCCCAACCCTATTTATAGAGGTCAAGCCCGGGATGGACCCCGTCCACATGCGCCAATACCCTATGCCCACGGAAGCCAAAAATGGCATCACACCGCATATCCGCCGCCTCCTTGACTTTGGGGTCCTATGCACCTGCCACTCAGCATGGAATACCCCCCTGCTGCCCATGCGCAAACCCAACAGCAGGGAATACAGACCAGTGCAGGACCTGAGAGAAGTCAATAAGTGGGTGATGGACATACATCCAATCGTTCCTAACCCCTATACTCTCCTGAATGCCCTCAGCCCAGAAAAACAATGGTACACTGTTCTGGATCTAAAAGATGCTTTTTTCAGCCTACCACTAGCGCCTAAAAGTCAAGAGCTATTTGCATTCGAGTGGACAGATCCAGACAGGGGCATAAATGGCCAGCTCACTTGGACCAGACTGCCACAAGGATTCAAGAACTCTCCGACCCTGTTCGACGAGGATCTACACTAAGATTTAAGTGAGTACAGACAACAACACCCTAATATAACTCTCCTACAGTATGTTGATGATCTCTTAATAGCTGCCGAGACACCTGAAGCCTGCATCCAGGGAACCGAAAGTCTCCTGCGAACTCTGGGAACCTTAGGCTACCATGCCTCAGCAAAGAAGGCTCAGATCTGCAAGTCAGAGGTAACTTACCTGGGTTACTTACTGAGAGGGGGGCAACGCTGGCTAGCGGATGCCCGGAAGGAGACTGTCCTTCGTATTCCCAGACCACAGACACCACGACAGGTGAGGGAATTCCTAGGGTCGGCTGGGCTCTGCAGACTATGGATACCAGGGTTTGCTGAATTAGCAAAACCTTTATAGCAGGCAACAAAAGATCAACAGCCCTTTAGTTGGACGGAAGAAGCCGAACAGACCTTCCAACAAATTAAAACTGCTCTGCTATCAGCACCTGCCCTGGGACTCCCCCATGTCTCCAAACCCTTCCACCTATATGTAGATGAAAACCGGGGCAGAGCCAAAGCGGTGATAACCCAGCATTTGGGCCCTTGGTGCAGGCCAGTAGCCTATCTAAAAAGGTAGATCCAGTGGCCGCCGGATGGCCACCCTGTCTCCGGATGATTGCAGCCACTGCCCTAATGGTAAAGGACGCTGATAAGCTGACCATGGGCCAAGAGCTACAAGTCACCACCCCGCATGCCATCGAGGGCATCCTCAAGCAGCCGCCTGACTGATGGCTGAGCAATGCCCAACTCACTCATTACCAGGGACTGCTGTTGAACCCCCTCAAGGTCATCTTCACCCCCCCAATGGCCCTGAACCCAGCATCACTGCTGCCAGACCCAGACATGGGAACCCCACTTCATGACTGTGCTGACATACTGGCTCAAGTTTATGGGGTCCGGGAGGACTTGCAGGACCAACCATTATCAGATGCAGACGCCATCTGGTTTAACGACGGAAGCAGCTTCATTCACCAAGGACAAAGGTATGCGGGGGCAGCCGTAACTTCAGAAACCGAGGTGATTTGGGCAGAAACCCTACCCGCTGGAACCTCGGCCCAGAAGGCTGAACTAATAGCCTTAACCCAGGCCCTAAAATTAGGGAGAGACCGCAAGCTAACCGTGTACACTGATAGCCGATATGCCTTTGCCACCGCTCATGTACATGGGGTGATATACAGAGAACGGGGGCTCCTCACAGCTGAAGGGAAAGACATCAAAAATAAAGAAGAGATTCTAGCCCTGCTAGCAGCCTTATGGGAACCCAAAAAGCTAGCGATTGTGCATTGCCCAGGACACCAGAAGACAACCGACCCAGTTTCCCGGGGCAACAATTTGGCCGATCAGACTGCAAAAAACATAGCTCGGCCCCCAGCGCAATTGCTGACCCTACAGCTGCCAGTCCCCGGACCCTGGGAATTGCCCCCCAGCCCTGAGTATTCAGAAAGCGACATTCAATGGATGAGTAAACTTCCCATGACCCAAATCAAAGATGGCTGGTGGAGAGACTCCAAAAGCAGCATTATACTCCCAGATAAACTAGGATGGCAAGTTCTAGAGCAGATCCATTGCAGCACCCACTTAGGTTCCCGGAGAATGTTGGACTTACTGAGACAGACTGGACTAAAAATCAGAAATGTCTCTGATAAGGTCGATCAAGTAGTCACTAAATGTACAGTGTGCCGACTCAACAATGCAAGTACAATCCTCAGACAGCAGGGGTAAGACGAGGGAGCAGACCGGGGACCTATTGGGAAGTAGACTTCACTGAGGTAAAACCAGGAAAATATGGATATAAGTATTTGCTAGTTTTTATAGATACCTTTTAAGGATGGACTGGAGCCTTTCCAACCAAGAATGAAACGGCGCAGATTGTAGCCAAAAAGATCCTAGAAGAAATCCTGCCCAGGTATGGTTTTCCAGTAATGATAGGGTCAGACAATGGACCTGCATTCGTCTCTAAGGTAAGACAGGGACTGGCTTCCATACTTGGGGCTGATTGGAAATTACATTGTGCATACCGACCCCAAAGCTCAGGACAGGTAGAGAGAATGAACAGAACATTAAAGGAGACCCTTACCAAATTGACCATGGAGACTGGCGCTAATTGGGTGGTCCTTCTCCCCTATGCTCTGTTCAGGGTGCATAATTCCCCATACAAACTGGGACTCACACCCTATGAAATAATACATGGTAGACTACCCCCCATCATCCCTAACCTAAAAGATAACCTTGTCAAAGCTGAGAACGATAATAGTCTTGAATTCTTTTTCTCCCTACAAGCCTTGCAGAGGGTCCATAAAGATGTATGGCCCAAATTAAAGGAACTCTATGAGACTGGACCCCCACCTATTCCTCATCAATTCCAGCCAGGGGATTGGGTCCTCGTCAAACGTCATCGGCAGGGAACTCTGGAGCCCAGGTGGAAAGGACCCTTCCAGGTCATCCTGACAATGCCTACTGCCATCAAAGTAGATGGAATCGCCACCTGGATCCATTTCGCCCACGCCAAACCAGTGGACCCGTTCTCAGACCTCATCAGTCCTTCAAAGACAACCTGGACTGTTGATCGGACTAAGGACAATCCTTTAAAATTGACCCTACGCCGCCAACGGACTGAGCCGTAACTGTGGTACTTGCCCTCCTCTTGATTGTTCTGCAAATTCTGTCTGTAAATCCAAACCCCCACAACCCCTATAATTTGACATGGGAAATTACTAATTTAGAGACTCATGAATTCTACAACAAAACCCTAGGAACTGCCCCATTAAATACCTGGTGGTCAGATTTATATTTTAATTAAAAAAAAAAATTAGTCCATTAGAAAAAATGGAAGGAGGTAAATGGAGGCAACTGCAAAGGAGGGTATCAATAAGTAGAAATGGATTTTATGCATGTCCGGGATTTATGACAGGGGCGATGAGGCGCACATGTGGAGGGTTTGAAACCCTCTATTGCACAGCCTGGAGTTGTGTCACCTCCAATGATGGGGAATAAAGTGGGAAGTAAAACATCAATTTATTGAAATGTCCTATGTCTGACCATGTACCCGCACCAGGTATGATGAAAACTGTAACCTTATTCGTGTAAGATTTACAGAGGAGGGGAAAAACGACAGGCGGTGGGTCTCAGGACTCATTTGGGGACTCTACTTATATCAATATCCCCTCTTTGGGAATGCCATTCAAATAAAATTAAAAGTCTCCCCTCTTGTACAACCGGTGGGGCCAAATCAGGTATTAGGAAAAAAAAAAAAAAAAGAGAGACGAGCCTATCCCCAGGCAGATCCCCACTACTCCCTCCAGCAGGACCCCCGTCCTTATCCCAGGAGTAAAAGCACAAGCTGTCCAAAAAAAAAATCAGAACCCAGAAGGTATAGACTCCCTATGGAAATTGCTAACAGCAGCGTATGAGGCCTTAAACCGATCAGACCCTGAGGCAACAAGGGCCTGCTGGCTATGTTATGATATAAAACCCCCTTCTACGAAACCATAGGTCTAGCTGCCCCTTTTTCACAGTCAGGAGAAGCGTCGCCAGCAGCTTGCAAGTGGAATCGAAAGGGCCCCGGCCTCACACTGCAAGCGGTCACTGGCAATGGGACTTGTATAGGAAAAGTCCCCTCTAGCCATATCCAGCTCTGTGCCCCAACTAATTATAGATGAATCTAAATGGATAATTCCAGCTCTGGACAGTTGGTGGACACACCCCATGTGTTAGTAGAGATGTTTTTAATTTGTCACCCGAATATTGTATCATGGTATTAATATTTCCAAGGGTTATTTACCACCGAGAAAATGTTGTATATGATCTGTGGACAGAAGGGACAGAAGCAAGAGAGTCAATAAGAACAAAACGGGATCCCTTTATGGCCATAACCTTGGCCACCTTGTTTGGCCTCGGTACCATAGGGGCAGGAACAGGGATCTCATCACTAGCCATCCAGCACCGGGGGTTCAATAGCCTAAGGGCAGCCATTGATGAGGATATAGCCAGACTTGAGGACTCAATCTCGCACCTCGAAAAATCTCTGACCTCCCTTTCTGAAGTGGTCCTACAGAACCGAAGGGGGCTAGATCTAATCTTCCTCCAACAAGGAGGTTTATGTGCAGCCTTAAGAGAAGAATGTTGTTTTTATGCTGACCACACCGGGGTAGTCCGAGAGTCCATGGCTAAAGTTAGATAAGACCTGGCCAAATGGAAGCGTGAACGAGAACAACAACAAGGCTAGTTTGAGTCTTGGTTCAATCAGTCCCCATGGCTAGCCACCCTGCTTTCTGCTCTAGCTGGGCCCCTTATACTCCTCCTTCTCCTCACCTTCTGGCCTTATATTATTAATAAACTAGTTGCCTTTATCAAAGACTGAGTTAACACGATCCAACTGATGGTCCTTAGGACCCAATATCAACCTGTCATTACCAAAACATTTGAGTCAGACACATAAAATCCAAGATTGGCTCTTGAGGCACCAAAGAGAGGGGGGAATGAGAGACAAAGAGAAAAATTACCAGGTGTACTCACAACTGCAAAGAAAAGACCTTCCACACTCCCCCCTGCCCCCACACCGTTCCAGGAACCAGCCAGGGCGTGCCCAGTTGTGGTCTGACCTAAAGGCGGGAACGAATCAAGTTCTGCTGAGTGGTTTGAAATAAAGACAGGAACCAATCAAGTTCTGCTGAGTGTTCAAATTTAAATGTCAACCAATAACAGCTCTGTAACCGCAAAAAAATCCCTAACTTGTTTGTGCCTGTCTATAAAAGAAGCTGTAAGATCCTTGCTCGGGGCCTCTTAGCGTCACTGGCAACGAGTGCGCGGAGGACCGGGTTCGAACCTGCAATAAACGACCCTTGCCGCTTGGCTTTGACTCAGGACTCTGGACTCTGGTGGTTTGTTTTCGGGGGGTCTCTCGAATCGGGGCATATCAACATGACCAGTGATCGTACTCTGATTGGCCAGGTGTGAGTCAAATGGCAAGAGATATAGAAAGCATCTGCTGAACCACAAAGACTGAGAGTAAAGGAGAAGAGGTGGAATTCTAAATATATGCTAGTCTGCAAAAATAAATGCATATAACCATAAAGCTATAAACTCTTGATAACTCTGACTTCACCAAGTGACCCCAAAACTCCTCAGAAATAGTGTATACAAAAACTGCATGGAAAGTCTCATCATCCTCACACTTTTCTCTTAGGTAAGAGCTTCCCCTTTGTCCTGCACAAAAAAAGAACACCACCAAAGAACCATCCTTCAGGCAAGCACAGAGAAACCAAGAGAATTACATTTCTCACATCACACAGCAAGACACTGGGTAAATTTGAATACACAGATGGATTCTGCCTATCCACATCAGAATGGTACCCTTTCAGGACCAATTTATATAACTGGTCTATAGGACCAATAGGACTAATATAGCTCATCCTGGTCTCCACCATACTTCCTGGGAGGAAGGCTTGGGAAGCAAGAATGGTGGAAAAAGAAACATTTACTGCAATAAGCCTTTGGAGGAAAAGAATCTTTTTAAAAGACAAGAGTTAAGTTTTTAGTCTCAATTACAAAAATCAAAGGACATAGGGAATAAAACTTTAATGATCACCAAAAACAAAATTACCTTCCAGGAACCATGTGACCAAGTGACCAAGATTCATGGGATCATGATGCTGGCCAGCCATTGTGCAGCTTCCAGGGTACAATGCAGTGGAAGCCAGCCAGAATCCCTGCCTTTGCTGAGTTTATAGGCAGAAAATTAAGCAGGCATAAAGTGGGATAAGCAAAATGATAGGGGACACACAGGTGGTATGAGAACACAAAAGAGGGGCATCTAACTTAAGCTGGAGGAATCAGTGAAGGCTTCTCAAAGGAAATGATGCTTAGGCCAACACCTAAAGGGGGAGGAAGGATTCAGCAGCAGGCACCGAGTTCTGTTAGGAAGAAAGATCAGGGAGCAT